TGAAGGCCTTCAGTCAAGGCACCTTGGGCAATCAGAAGCCCTCCAGGGGCTACTCCCAAAAATGGACCACGGCTCACAGGTTTTCACACTTTTATAACTTTGGTCCATTTGCATATTGGGGCTTAATCCTCCAATTACAGCTTCAGCTAATGAAGTCATTCACCCCAAGTTTGCTCCCCCAGCTCCCTTTTGTTGAATCTCTGGGGGACTGAGGCAGTGAGGTGTCCTTGAGTGCCAGGCCTGGAGAGGAATTGCTGTGTCTGCCCCAAATGGGAGAGAACAGCAGCTGGCACTGTGGGTGGGGTTTGGAGTTACACACTAAAGAACTGCAGGGATATATTACAAATTACAAATACAAATAATAAAAAACATATTAAATAATAAATATATTACAATAATATTAATATATTTATTATGTTGTATTTATTAATATATAAATTGCAGTTTATATTAAATAATATATATATTACAAATTACCAATATATATTACAAATACAAATAATAAAAAACATATTAAAGGAATATATGAAATCCTGAGGCAGTGAGGTGTCCTTGAGTGCCAGGCTTGGAGAGGAATTGTTGTGTCTGCCCCAAATGGGAGAACAGCAGCTGGCACTGCGTGTGGGGTTTGGAGTTACACACTAAAGAACTGCAGGGTCACAAATACATGGAAAATATAAAGGCTCAAACCCTGAGGCATCACCCTGAGCACTCCCAGGCCTCTGGAGCCATCCTTGGTGCCCTCAGGGTGCTCCCGGGCACGGGGAACCGGCCGGGGCGGTTTGGCAGGGCCGGACGCTCCCGACTTGCTCTCGGACTGTGCCCCTTTTGTTGCCTTCCCTTGGCAGCCGTGGGCTGCAGAGAGGCCAAGGAACAGGGCACTCTCCCTTTCCAAAGGGGTGGGTTTGTCCCCAGCCCTTGGCCGTGCTGTTTGTTCCGCCCTCCCCGCTGCTTCTGACTCTCTCCCTGTTTTCCTTTGCTGCGCAGCGTCCTGGACGAGGGCTGGAGCTGCGCAGAGCTGCACCTGTGCCAGGCCGGGCTGGACCAGCAGGAGCACGGTGCCAGGTGGGGGCTGGCAGCGTCCTGGGGCTTTTCCAGGGAGCAGGAAATCCTGGACCCTCTATTTTCCCCAAGGATCAAGCTCCTTCCCTCTTTTCCCAAGTATAGAATTTTTTCTCTCTTTTCCCAAGGATGAAATTCCTTCCCTCTCTTTTCCCAAGAGTGAAATTCCTTCCCTTTCTATTCCCAAGAATAAAATTCCTTCCCTCTCTTTTCCCAAGGGTGAAACTCCTTTCCTCTCTTTTCCCAAGGGTAAAACTCCTTCCCTCTCTTTTCCCAAGGATCAAACTCCTTCCCTCTTTTCCCAAGGATAAAATGCCTTCCCTTTCTTTTCCCAAGAGTGAAATTCCTTCCTTCTTTTCCCAAGGGTGGCATTCCTTCCCTTTCTTTTCCCAAGGATAAAGTTCCTTCCCACTCTTTTCCCAAGGATCAAATTCTCCTTTCACAAGGATGAATCTCCTTCCCTCTCTTTTCCCAAGGTTAAAATCCCTTCCCTTCCCAAACCTTCCCTTCCCAAACCTTCCCTTCCCTTTTCTTTCCCAAGGATAAAATTCTCCTTTCCCAAGAATTAAACTCCTTCCCTCTTTTCCCATGGTTAAAACTCCTTCCTTCTCTTTTCCCAAGAATAAAACTCCTTCCCTCTCCTTCCCAAGGATAAAATTCCCTCTCTGTCCTTCCCCCCCTCAGGAGGAAGATCTACGGCCCCAACCTCATCGAGGTGCCCGTCAAGTCCTATGCCAGGCTCCTGGTGGAGGAGGTGGGTTCCAGGCTGGGCTTCCGAAGTGGATTTTCCCAGGACAGATCCCTCCCCTGCTCCCTGTCCCTGTCTGGAAGCGCTTCCTGGCCCTTGGGACGGGAGGAGAGGATTTGGGGAGAAGGCAGAGCCATGAGGGGACCCTTCCTGACCCTCTGGGTGCAGACAGGAGCAGCCCCCAGGGGTTGTGGAGGTGGCTGAGCATCCTTGGGAGCAGCATCCATAGGGAATTCCAGGTGGGATGGAGGGTTTGGGGACTGCCAGCCCCAGGGAAGGGCTGGGTTCTCCTCTGCCTCCAGGAGCCTGGAAGGCTCATGATGGGGTGGAGGAAGCCTTTCCTCCTCCAAGAAATTCCTCCCACCTGGAAATCCCATACTGGGCTGGGGAAAGCTCTCCCCACCCCAAGGAGCCTGGAAATCCCATACTGGGCTGGGAGAAGTTCTTCCCACTTCCAGGAGCCTGGAAATCCCATAATGGGATGGAGGAAGCTCTGCCTATTTCCAGGAGCCTGGAAATCCATGATGGGATGGAGGAAGCTCTCCTTACTTCCAGGAGCATGGAGATTCCATACTGGGCAGGAGGAAGCTCTCCTCATTTCCACAGAACCTGGAAATCCCATACTGGGCTGGGGGAAGCTCTCCCCCATTTCCAGGATCCTGAAATCCCATGATGGGCTGGGGGAGGTTCTCCCACCCTGAGGAACCTAGAAATCCCATAATGGGCTGGGAGAGGTTCTCCCACCCCAAGGAGCCTGGAAATCCCGTGGTGGGCTGGGGGAAGCTCTCCCCCATTTCCAGGATCCTGAAATCCCATGATGGGCTGGGGGAGGTTCTCCCACCCCAAGGAGGTCTCCCAGTGAGCTCCCAGAGCTGTTTTTTCTCCTTGTTGCAGGTGCTCAACCCCTTCTACCTGTTCCAAGTGCTCAGCATGGTGCTGTGGGTGTGTGATGCCTATTACTACTACGCCGCCTGCATCTTCCTCATCTCCACCTTCTCGCTGGGGCTGTCCCTCTACGAGACGCGCAAGGTGGGTGGGGACAGCCCTATCCCAGCTCTCCCTGTCCTCCCTCCCTGCTTCCAAGCCCCCCAGGCCGTTTTTTGGGATGGTTTCCCGTGTTTTGGTTGGATTCTGATCACTGCCTCCCTCCCAGCAAAGCACCACGCTGAGGAACATGGCCAGGATGTCCATGGGGGTACGGGTCCGGCGGCCTGGAGGAGGTGAGAGGGAGGATTTTTGGGGTGGTGGTTGGGATGGGATGATGTGTCCTTTGGGATCCTGGTTCTGCACCGAAGTAGTGTTGGGATAGGTGGGAGTGATGTTGGGACACACTGGAATAATGTCATTGTGCATGGGAATAATGTTATGAGACACCAGAGTAATGTTGGGATGTGGGGGAATAGTGTTGGGAGAGACAGGAACAATGTTATGATATATGGGAATAATGTTATGATATATGGGAATAATGTTATTATACATGGGAATAATGTTATGAAACACCAGAGTAATCTTGGGATGTGTGGGAATAATGTTGGGAGACACGGGAATAATGTTGGGATACATGGGAATAAAGTTGGGATATATGGCAATAATGTTATGATATATGGGAATAATGTTATGAGACACCAGAGTAATGCTGGGATGTGTGGGAATAGTGTTGGGATAGACAGGAACAATGTTATGATATATGGGAATAATGTTAATGTACATGGGAATAATGTTATTATACATAGGAATAATGTTGTGATGTATGGGAATAATGTTATAAAACATCCCAACAAAGAGTAATGTTGGCATGTGCGGGAATAGTGTTGGGATACACAGGAATAGTGTTGGGATACATGGAAATAATGGTGGGATACATGGGAATAATGTGATTATACATGGAAATAATGTTATGAAACACCAGAGTAATATTGGGATGTGTAGGAATAGTGTTGGGATACATGGGAATAACTATATGATATATGGGAATAATGTTATTATACATGGGAATAATGTTATATGGGGAATAGTGTTGGGGAGCTTGGGAACAATGTTATGATATATGGGAATAATGTTATTATGCATGGGAATAATGTTATGACACACCAGAATTATGTTGGGATGTGTGGGAATAGTGTTGGGATACATGGGAATAATGTTGTGATATATGGGAATAATGTTATTATGCATGGGAATAATCTTATGAGACACCAGAGTAATGTTTGGATGTGTGGGAATATGTTGGGATAGACAGGAACAACGTTATGATATATGGGAATAATGCTATTATACATGGGAATAATGTTGGGATACACAGGAATAATGTTGGGATACATGGGAATAATGTTGTGATATATGGGAATAACCTTATGATATATGGGATTAATATTATGACATATAGGAATAATGCTATTATACGTGGAAATAATGATACAATATATGGGAATAGTGTTATAAGACAGGAGTGATGTTGGGATACATGGGAATTAACAATATGATATATGGGAATACCGTTATTATACATGGGAATAATGTTGGGATACACAGGAATAACCTTATGAGATACTGGAATAGTTTTGGGGTCCAATTAATTAAAGATGCCTCTGTCCAAATGAAGGTGCAAACAAGCCGATATTCCAAAGCCAGCATGGATTTAATTTAACAGGGGATTTCAGGGAGAGAGAGACAAATTAATTACAAGGATAATCTTCCCATGAATCCCTGCCCTGTCCCACCAGCCCTTTTCCCCCTGCTCTTCCCAGTGCTGGGAATCCCTGGGGTTCCTCTGGTGGTTCCATTTGTCACACAGCCCAAACCCTGGCTGTGCACAGGTGTTTGTGCCATTCCCAGTGCTCAGGGTGGCTGGGAATTGTGGTCTGGATGAGCCATCCCCAGGCCTGGCACCTCCCTGCTGGGTATTCTGGTCTGGATCAGCTCTCCCCAGGCCTGGATCTCAATTTCCCACCTCCTGGGAATTAACCCCTTCCTGTTTGCTGCCTTATCCCATGGGGATTGCTTCCCTGGTGCCTGGAGATGAGCGCCCCATTCCCCAATCCCTGAGTGGGTTCTCCAGGGACCTGGAGATGAGTGACTCTATCTCCCAATCCCTGAGGGAGTTCTCTAGGTGCCCAGAGATGAGTGCCCTGTTCCCCAATCCCTGAGGGGATTCTCCAGGTTTCTGGAGATCAGTGCCCCATTCCCCAGGCCCTGAGCAGGTTCTCCAGGTTACTGGAGATGAGTGACTCCATTCCCCAGGCCCTGAGCAGGTTCTCCAGGTTTCTGGACATGAATGTCCCTGTTCCCCATGCTGTAAGCAGGTTCTCGAGGTGTCAGGAGATGAATGCCCCATTCTCCACACCCTGAGGGGGTTCTCAAGGTGTCTGGAGATGAGTGCTCCCATTCCCCACACCCTGAGCACGTTCTTTAGGTGCCTGCAGATGAGTGCTCCATTCCCCAAGCCCTGAGTGGGTTCTCCAGGTTTCTGGAGATGAGTGCCCTGTTCCCCAATCCCTAAGCAGGTTCTCCAGATGCCTGGACATGAATGCCCTGTTCCCCAATCCCTGAGTGGGTTCTCCAGGTGCCTGGAGATGAATGTCCCATTCCCCACGCCCTGAGTGGGTTTTCCAGGTGTCAGGAGATGAGTTTCCCCATTCCCCAATCCCTGAGCAGGTTCTCCAGGTTTCTGGAGATGAGTGCCCCTGTTCCCCATGCTGTAAGAAGGTTCTCCAGGTGCCTGGAGATGAATGCCCCATTCCCCAATCCCTGAGTGGGTTCTCCAGGTTTCTGGAGATGAACACCCTGTTTCCCAGGCCTTGAGAGGGTTCTCCAGATTCCTGGAGATGAGTGACCCCATTCCCCAATCCCTGAGCAGGTTCTCCAGGTTTCTGGAGATGAGTGCCCCATTCCTCACACCCTGAGCAGGTTCTCCAGGTTCCTGGAGATGAGTGCCACGTTCCCCAGGTCCTGAGCAGGGTTCTCCAGGTGCCTGGGCATGAATGCCCTGTTTCCCAATCCCTGAGCAGGTTCTCCAGGTTTCTGGAGATGAGTGCCCCATTCCCTAGGCCCTGAGTGGGTTCTCCAGGTGCCTGGGCATGAATGCCCTGTTTCCCAATCCCTGAGCAGGTTCTCCGGGTTTCTGGAGATGAGTGTCCCATTCCCCAATCCCTGAGCAGGTTCTCCAGGTGCCTGGAGACAAGTGCCCTGTTCCCCAGGCTCTGAGTGGGTTCTCCAGGTGCCTGGAGATGGGTGCCCTGCTCTCCAATCCCTGAGCAGCGTTTTCCAGGTGTCAGGAGATGAGTTTCCCCATTCCCCAATCCCTGAGCAGGTTCTCCAGGTTTCTGGAGATGAGTGCCCCTGTTCCCCATGCTGTAAGAAGGTTCTCCAGGTGCCTGGAGATGAATGCCCCATTCCCCAATCCCTGAGTGGGTTCTCCAGGTGTCTGGAGATGAGTGACTCCATTCCCCACACCCTGATCAGCGTTGTTTTCCAGAGGAGCTGGTGGTCAGCTCGGCAGAGCTGGTGCCCGGGGACTGCATCCGGCTGCCGGCGGCCGGGGCGGTGCTGCCGTGCGACGCGGCGCTGCTGAGCGGGGAGTGCATGGTCAACGAGAGCCTGCTGACCGGTGAGAGCCCTCCCTGCACCCCGGGGTGGCTGCCTGAGCAGGGGACAAACAGGGTTAAAGTGAGGATTTATTGAAGGCCTTCCATGGATACACCTTGGGCAGTTCTCGGGTTGCTGTTGATAATTGCTGCCCCGAGATGTGCAGGGTGTCTCTGCTTCAGCCCATGCAACTGAAACATGAGCCTGGACTCCTCACTTTTCGGTCTTGAGGTTGTTTATTAATTCTTACCTATAAAATTTTCTTTCTGCCCAGCTGAGATCTGCTCAGCCAGGCAGCCACAGGCACTCTGTGTTGTCCTTTTATACTACAAACTACGTAGAACATATTTATACTTAATTCCCAATAGCTATCACCTATGTTAGTGCATTTCTACTCTAAACCAATCCCAAAGTGCCAACATCACTGCAGAAAATGGAGAACAAGAAGAAGAAGGAGGAAGGCTGGACATGCCCAGATTCCTTCATCTTGTCCCCATAACTCCCACACCAAAAATCCTAAAATCTGCATTTTCACCCTGTGATCATTTTGTTATAATACTATTCAAACGTGTGTGACTTTCATGTCCTCATACAAAGTTGGCAACTTGCTCAAGGGTCACAATCAAATCCCCAGGTGCTCTGGGCTGTGTGCCAGGGTCTGTGAGCCCCCAGTGGGGTCCTCAGCAACTCTGGACACCCAGAGGGATGTGCTGAGTTCTGACAGGCAGTCACAAACCTCTGAGGCTACACCCAAAACAGATGATGGGCACAAGTTTTTCAGACAATTGTAAATTTTTAATCCCATTTACATATCAGGGGTTAATGCTCCAATTACAGCTTCAGGTGATGAAGTCATTTACCCCAAGTTTGCTGCCCCCAACTCATTTTGTTTATATTTTTTGGGCCCCGAGGCTGGAGGGTGTCCTGGAGTTTCAGGCCCAGGGGAATTGTGTGTGAGCAGAACGGGAGAGCGGCAGCTGACACTATGGAGTTTTAGAGTTAGGCACTAAAGGAGCACAGGATCTCAAAAATGCAGAGTATAAAATCCTCAGTGTCATCACCCTGGGTGGGTGTCACTGTGGGACTGGTGCCAGTAGGGTGTGTGTCCCCAGCAGTGTCCATGTCCCCAGCAGTATCTGTGTCCCCAGCAGTGTGTGTGTGAGTCCCCAGCAGTGTCCCCAGTGGTGTTTGTGTTGTCCCAGCAGTGTCTGTGTCCCCAGCAGTGTCCGTGTCCCCAGCAGTGTCCCTGTCCCAGCAGTGTCCCTGTCCCAGCAGTGTCCCCAACAGTGTCCCTGTCCCCAGCAGTGTCCGTGTCCCAGCAGTGACCCAGCAGTGTCCCTGTCCCCAGCAGTGTCCCTGTCCCAGCAGTGTCGCTGTCCCCAGCACTGTCCCCAGCAGTGTCCCTGTCCCCAGCAGTGTCAGTGTCCCTGTCCCAGCACTGTCCCCAGCAGTGTCCCTGTTCCCAGCAGTGCCCCCAGCAGTGTCCCTGTCCCCAGCAGTGTCCCTGTCCCAGCACTGTCCCCAGCAGTGTCTCTGTCCCCAGCGGTGTCCCTGTCCCCAGCAGTGTCCCTGGCTGCCCCTGACCCCCCTGGGGTGACAATCCCGCCCCTGGACTGTTCTGTGCAGGGGAGAGCGTGCCGGTGATGAAGACGCCGCTGCCGGCGGGCGGAGCCGCGTACTGCCCCGAGGAGCACCGGCGGCACACGCTGTTCTGCGGGACACAGATCATCCAGGCCAAGGCCTACGTGGGCGGGGAGGTGCTGGCCGTGGTCACCCGCACAGGTGAGGGCGTGGGGGATAACCCAGGATGAATCCCGGGTTGAATCCGTGCCCTTGGGAGTGGTGCTATGGTGACCTCCTGCCTGTCCCGCAGGGTTCTGCACGGCCAAGGGGGACCTCATCAGCTCCATCCTCTACCCCAAACCCGTGAGCTTCAAGTTCTACAAGGATGCTGTGAAGTTTGTGCTGTTCCTCGCCATCCTGGGTAGGTCTGGGTGTGGAGGCTCATCCTGGAGCAGCCAGATTCCTTGGAATGGAATTCCATCCCAGCTCCCTGCTGTGCCCTGCCTTGTAACTGTGCCACTTCTCTCCCTGCACAGCTCTCATCGGCACCTTGTACAGCATCCTCATCCTCGTTAGGAACAAGGTAGGGCTGGTGGAGCGAGCGGGAGAGCCCACAGAGATCCATCAGGGGAGGGATGGATCCTGTTCCTCCTGCTCCCCTCCCAGGTCCCGGTGGGACAAATCATCATCCGCGCCCTGGACCTGGTCACCGTCATCGTGCCGCCAGCGCTGCCGGCCGCCATGACCGTGGGCACCATCTACGCCCAGAACCGGCTGAAAAAGCAGGGAATCTTCTGCATCAGCCCCCCACGGATCAACCTGTGCGGGAAGATCCGCCTGGTGTGCTTCGACAAGGTGAGGCGTATAACAAAGCCTCCATCTTGGCCTTATTGAGCGGTGCAAGGATGGTCCGGGAGCCCAGTCCCTCTGGGAGACAGAGTGCCCAAATGCCCAGTTAGCTCGTGGCCGTCGCTGCAGGCTGCCCTTTAGCAAGCTCGGTGATTGTCAGCTCTGTAGTGATCATCAGCTCTCTTAGGATCTCAGCTCTTTGCTTGCTAGGTAGGGTGCCCCAGGCTGAGGCTGCAGCAGACACTGCAGAGAGAGGAGAAGTCCTGCTGTTCCACAGCGATGGTTTATTGGGGACACTGAAGGGTTCCAGTGACAGCTCTTCTTCTGTCAAATGGGCTAAAACAGCCCCTTTTTATAGGGTGTAGGGGGATCCAAACTTGCCCAGTAGCAAGGGTTAGGTATAGTGGCCTATGAGGTTACAAAGATAAGGCTGAGGGGCGAGGGGTCAGAGACGGGATCTTATTTTGCTGTCTCATCATGACTCAGCAGTTCCTACTTGTGACAGTGGTCACAGGGATATTCAGGTGAGGGAAGAGACGAGAATGTTGACTCCATGTTCAGAAGGCTTGATTTATTCTTTCATGATCTATATATTACATTATAACTAACTAGAAAGAAATAGAAGGAAAGGTTTCCTCTCAGAAGGCTAGCTAAGAATAGAATAGAAAGGAATGATAACAAAAGGCAGCTCTGTCAGACTCTGTCCGAGATAGCTCAGCCTTGATTGGCCATTAATTATAAACATCCAAGATGGGCCAATCAAAAATCCACCTGACGCATTCCACAGCAGCAGATAACCACTGTTTACATGTTGTTTCTGAGGCCTCACCTTCTCAGAAGGCAAAAAACCTCAAGAAAGGATTTTTAGTGAAAAGATGTCTGCGACACCTACTGTTAAGTCGCAATCCTCCATGGAGCTTTCCCAAGCTCTATGGGGTCTGCCACAGAGGCGGGGCGGGCAGGGTGGGCACTGGGGCTGCCCGGACCCACCGCGCTGTGCCCACAGACCGGGACGCTGACCCAGGAGGGGCTGGACGTGTGGGGCGTGGTGCCCCTGGAGCAGCAGCGCTTCCTGCCCATCGTGCACGAGCCCCGCTGCCTGCCCGCCGGCGCCCTGCTCTACGCCCTGGCCACCTGCCACGCCGTGTCACCGCTGCGGGGACAGCTCGTCGGGGACCCCGTGGACATCAAAATGCTGGAATCCACCGGCTGGGTGAGGCGGGTGTGGCTGTGTACAAATCACCAACGGGACGGGGCTGCTGCTGTGGAACGTGCCTTGAGCTGTTTTATTTTCCAGCATCAGTCTCATTACATGGTTATGACAATGGGAAGATGCCAGCAGCTCACATCCCAAGCAGCAGACCAAGAACTTAAAGTTACACCTCACTTTATAACTTTTTTGACCAATCACACAAAGCAAAAGCACATTGACAGTAGTTCTATCCAATCACTATAAGCACACGTACCTTTGGTTAAAACCATGCTTGCTTATTTCGAATACAAAACCTGCTTGTGAGCCTTAAAACACAATGCACAGAGCTCCATTATTAAGCTTCAACCTTCCTAATATCTTGCTAGATAAACTTTTCTGTAGCTTAGAGAGTTATTCTAGACAAGCGTTAATACACAGATCATTGTTCTATTTGCCCTTGCTTTTCTACAGTTTAAATTTAATTTTTTTGCTGACCTCTCTCATGGCTGCTGCTTAGCTCTAGTCACAGTTCTACTGCCTCTAAAGCCTGACTTTTGCAGCTTTCCCAAAACCCTCTGATTTTGTAGATTCCCACAATGGGGGCTGCAGGGCTGGAGAGGGAGGCATTGGGAATCTCGGCAGTTCTGGACCCTGTGTGGGTGGATGTGCTCATCAGGGTTTTGCCCTCTCGATTTCAGCGCCTGGAGATGATGGAGGAGGAGGAGGAAGGGGAGCTCCCGGCGTTCCAGCAGTTTGAGATGAAGGTCTTGGCCGTGGTGAAACCTCCACCAGAGGAGGAGCAACCTCGGGACAGGGTAACCCATGGAACAGCTCCTCACCCTTCTGCCTCCTTGGAGGAGCTCCTGCCTCCTGGAGGAATTCCTGCCTCCTGGAGGAGCTCCTGCCTGGCCCTGATCCCACCCACTCTCCACAGAGGCACCAGGCCCCGCTGGGGATCCTGCGGCGTTTCCCGTTCTCCTCCTCCCTGCAGAGGATGAGCGTCCTGGTCAAGCTGCCCGGGGAGGCCTCGGCCCACGCCTACGTCAAGGGCGCCCCGGAGATGGTGGCCAGTCTGTGCAGGAAGGAAACTGGTTGGTACTGGGAGGTGGGCTCACCCCCTGTCCCGCTGGCTGCATCCCTGAGGCTCATCTCCCCCCAGGGAATTATCCTCAGGAACGCTGTGGGGCAGCTCCCAAAGGCTTTGGGGTGGCCCCAGCCACAGGAGGGAAAGGAAACAGGAGCCAGAAGATGGGGAGGGGGGTTGGGGGCTTCCTTCAACC